TACTTTCTGTTTGGATAATTATTGTTTGCATTGTCAACTTAAATACATGAGCATCGCCTTGACAACTTGAAAATACTATATGAGAGATAGGTTGCGTTTATAACAATAAAAATAGTAATAAATGTTTGCTTTTCTTTAAATTAGTAATATATGTACGTTAACCTGCATCGCCAAAAAAAGTTGTGGTTTTCCGCCGGGATTACAAAATGTATTATATGTAAAGACGTCCACCAAAATATTTTGGGAAAAATATTAAGATTTAAGCGAGCTGGACCGATTTAAAAATACCTCCAAAAATGGAGTTTTTTATGAATAAAAAACTTTTTGAAAAAAGTCCCCTCAGATTACAAAACAGATTAGGCTTAAAAAATCTGCATAAAAATATTTAAAAATGTTTTGAACGGAATCGTAATAATGAGATTTTTAATGCTGTTTTTTTTTTAACTTTTTTCAAAGATTGGTATAAGAAAAGCTTGAATAACTGAACCTAAACTCTTCCGATTTAGACTTATGAGATCTCAGTAGAAAGGTATCTTCCCACCCTTTTTATTTCTTTGCTAATAAGCTCATTCAAAGGATGAAAGACAAAGGTAGGATGAACGAACATCATTCAAAGTTGAATTAAGATGTGTTGGTATTTGAAAAAAGGCGTGAGTACTAGGTACTCATGAAATTTGATGTGTATACATATGCGAACGGGAAAGCATAAAAGTACGTTTACATATAAATATAATCTCAATCAAAGCTCGGTAGCTGTCAAATTGGTTGTGCTTGTTATTCACATAACTCGAGGAAAAGTTAAACTTCTTCTCTGTGCCACCGTGTTCACTTTTTTTTGCAGCACATATTATAGGCCATTTAAATATATTTATAACTGAATATTTTATTAAAAATACCTTTACAAACCTATTTTCCTTACTAGCGTCAATTTTTGTTTACTTTAATATTTGACATTCCTCCTCTTCTTCGCAAGTATAATCGATAAAACTAAGTTGGACACCAAAAAGTTATCGGTTTAATCTGTGATATTTTTAATTATAATTT